ACCGAAAAGGGTGACCATGCACATCGTCGCCGACCCGAACAATGACCCACGGCGATACAATCAACCAGCTGCTCATGTGAACGAGGTAGCAGTTGTCTTTGTTGGTGAAGATGGTCTACCACCAGGGAATCTCGATCTGGTCATCTATGACTCAAACCCAGTTGACCCAAATCACCGGATGCAAAGCATATCAGCTGGCTCACCTCATGCAGATCCAATGCTCTTTCCACGTGGAGAAATCGGCTGGCATTACAACTTGCAACAAGAGGGAGTCCGCCAGAACGCAGTGCGTGTTCGGAACTCTATCAGAGAGTTTGCTTCTTCTCGCTTGGCCATCAGATACACAGGAACCAATAGCAATGGGAATGAAGGCCATACGTTTAGTTTATTACACGCAGGTGGTTTTTTGTTACAGCAGTACATATGTGATCAGTACGTTCGCGTGGAAGCGAACAATCTACCAGAAAGCACTCTTTGCTGACGCCTATCAAGGCCTTCTGGACCATATTAACCAACAGCTCCGCCTGGACGAAATCGATCCGGTCGGAAGCAGGACAATTCTGCCTTCGACGTTTCTAGGTGGTCCTAGGTACATGAAACAATGTTACCACGACGCAATGTCCCTTGTGCGTAAGTACGGAAAGCCGGACTTATTCATAACATTTACGTGTAACCTTAGGTGGCCAGAGATAGTAGATAACATTCCGTGTTGGTTGAAGGCAACCGACAGGCATGATTTGGTTGCAAGGGTGTTTCACGCAAAACTGAAGGAGCTAATGCGTGACATCACGGTTAATACGTTGTTTGGTAATGTAGATGCTTATGTTTACACTATTGAGTTTCAGAAACGTGGTCTTCCACACGCACATATACTAATCATCATGGATGAGGACAGCAAGTTACTAACTGCCGAAGACGTCGACAGTGTTGTGTGTGCCTACTTGCCTGACCCTGCATCCGAAAGGCGCCAACTCGACAGTGTGAAATCGCACATGATCCATGGTCCGTACAGTCCGTGTATGGTGGACAACAGTTGTACGAAGAAATATCCCAAATAATACAGCGAGGAGACTGTATACATTTCTGATGGTGGTTACCCGACTTATCGTAGACCGAACAATGGACTTGTGGTCAACGTCAGAGGTCATCCTGTTGTAAATGAGTTTGTTGTTCCATACAACCCATACTTGCTGGTCAAGTATGATGCCCACATAAACGTTGAGGTGTGCTCTACTGTGAAGAGCCTAATGTATTTGTATAAATACGTCTACAATGGCCATGACGCAGCTATCTTGGAAATTTGGAATGGGGATGAAATTGAAAAGTAATTGAATTTAACTTTTAGTTTTAATTTTTGACTTCTCAATGACATTCCATTTATCATTATTGTGTTCGATTATAATTATGATAAAAATGGTATTAACATTATCCAACAGTCAACCAAAATCATTTTAAAGCTGCATCAATCTCAGTAATGTTACATTAAGTGTTATTCTGTATATATGATAGATGTTGTTGGTAAATTTTATTTTCATTATTATTCATAATATATAATATAATAATATTACATATCATTTTGTTACTTATGAACCAATAATGCTGCTCAATTTTAATAAATATTATTTGTTTTCATTTTTTCGTTGGACACATTAGTTGAATAACCTCGCACAAAATAATAACAACATTTTGTTAACTAAAATAACATTGCATACCACTTTAATACAATAATAATTAACTATACTCTACACTTATTAAATATATTTGTATGCAACGTCAACCAAATTTTTTTTTTTGTAATTGAAAGCAAATATTCATTGTGAGGTAAAATCACTCCTATAATTTTTAGATGTATATATATATTATTTTATTCCTGAATGTTTATGATATACGTTGATGTTGATTTCAGTTACATAATCTCACGGTACGTCAGTCCACCAGAAGCTGTTTGGCGGTTATGTACGTTGTCAACCCACTTGATCGCGATCGTTTCTACCTACGATTGCTACTCCTACACAAGAGGGGCCCACAGTGTTTCCGTGACATGAGGAAAGTAGACGGGGTAGAACATCCAACATACGCGGCTGCAGCNCGGATGACGTACGAGACGTTGGCTCGAATGTACGTTGTCAACCCACTTGATCGCGATCGTTTCTACCTACGATTGCTACTCCTACACAAGAGGGGCCCACAGTGTTTCCGTGACATGAGGAAAGTAGACGGGGTAGAACATCCAACATACGCGGCTGCAGCCGTCGCGATGGGACTTGTGGAAGACGACCGAGCTATGTTGGCGTGCATGGCAGAATCGGCAACATTGGACACTCCAGTCCAGCTTCGTTACCTTTTTGTGACGATGCTTTTGCACTGCGAGATCACAAACCCGCTGGCGTTGTATCAAGCCAGCCAACCACACATGTTGCTGGACTTCAATCACCGATTGAGGGACATTGACCGCGCGAGGGCTGCGTGTTTAGATACAATCAACAGGATGCTTCGTGGTCATGGAAAATCACTTGCGGACTACGGTTTGCCACTACCGGACGTCACATTGCTGGAAGAAGACCCGGACGATGACATGTTTAGTGCTATAGACGCGGCGGTGCGCTGGGCCATACAATTGAACAATTTGAACGATGAATAACGGACAGTGTTCAATCGTGTGATGGCGGCAGTAGACGACAACAGAAACGTATCAAAACTTTTCTACATTGACGGTCCCGGAGGAACAGGTAAAACAACACTATACGGGTGCCTCATATGGTCGCTTCGCCACCAAGGGCGATCCGTGTTGTCCGTGGCTTTTACAGGAATAGCATCGTCTCCGTGGCTTTTATAGGAATAGCAGCGTCGCTCATGGTCGGCGGCATGACAGTGCACTCGACATTTGGATTGCCGTTCGGTACACTGAACGACGATTCGACGTCGACCATCACCTTGCAGTCGTTGCGTGCTCAGAAAATACGTGACGCAGCGCTCATTGTCTGGGACGAAGCGCCCATGTCTCCGGGACTACAACTCACAGTGGTCAATAGGTTGCTCCAGGACACCATGAGTTCAAAATTGCCGTTTGGCGGTAAACCAGTACTGTTCGCCGGTGACTTCAGGCAAATTCTACCTGTCGTGCGCAGGGGAACAAGAAGTGACAACATCAGGTCGTCTATCAAATACAACTCTTTGTGGCGCAACCTGGAACAGTTCACTTTGACGCAGAACATACGCGCCGATAACGATGCTGACTTCGCAACATGGTTGCTTCACTCGGGAGCGGCCAATTGCCAGCGGTCGACGATCTTCAGGACACCGTTGAAATACCCCGGGAAATGGTATGTGAGGTCGCTAATTTGATTGATTTTGTTTTTCCGCAGCGAATGATGTTGGCTAATGTCAACGAGTTTGCTCGGAAAATAATTTTATGTCCCAAGAACAACGAATGCAGGCAAGTCAATAATACGGTGTTACAACGCATTCATGGAGTTCACCGAACCTACACGGCCATAGACACTGTGGTGGTCGACGACCCCGACGAAGTGGCCAATTATCCGACAGAGTTTCTCAACACTCTAGAACCAGACGGACTTCCGCCGTATAACTTGACGCTGAAGGTCGGTTCTATTGTCATGTTGCTTAGGAACCTAGATTTTAAGAGATGTCTTTGCAATGGTACACGGTTGGTTGTTACTGAACTGCGACGATACAATTTCAAAGCGAGGATGTTGTCTGGTGGTGCACAGGAAGATATAGTCATACCTGCGGTACCGCTCACTTCGAGTGGCGAAGACGACCTGCCCATTATAATGCGACGAGTGCAATTTCCCGTACGTTTGTCATTTGCTATGACCATTAACAAGTCACAGGGACAAACGTTTGATATAGTTGGATTGCTCCTACCATCACCGGTGTTCACGCACGGACAACTGTATGTAGCTTTTTCCCGAGTGAGGGACTCTCAATCCATTAGAGTTGGTATGCATAGTGATGACCGTGGTAGATTTGTCACTAAGAACATATTGTAGAGAGAAGTTCTACAAGCGATATAACTGTACAATAAAGTCTACAAGAACTTAATGAACATCGAATCCGATCTGTGTGATCAAATGGATCTGTGTGATCCAAGTCTGTGTGACAAAAGTCTGCGTGACAAGTCTGTGTGACACATGGTTTGTAAGCAGTCGTAAGTACGACTCTCTGTAGAGAGAAAGTTCGACGACCTCTGCGTGGTTCTCTCTGGATGCGCATTTTGTAATGATTACTTAACTGATGTCGAACATGCATTTAAACTGGCTGCGACTCGCACACTATGTGGTTAATTATTTATAATTATTTATGTACTCTATAAAATATATCGGCAAATATTTATATGCATTTGTATTATTTCAAAATATAACAAAACAAAACCTGGCATACAGCGGGGCACGGTATTACACCAGACGAGCAAAGACTACACTCCAAATCACAGTTTTCAGGTTAAAATGGAAATATGACGTTCAAAGCTATTTTTTTTCACAAAATTGTTCATTTTCATTTAATTACTTATACTTACGTTGCCACGACTATATTGCCCTACTTACACACTATGCTGTTGACTGATATTATTAATAAATTTTCATTTAATGTTAACTCTATTATGCTGATATAAAAAAATCAATATAATTAAGGCAATCATAAAATTGTGAAAAAAATTATGATAAATAAAACATAATATATTAATTGATATTCATAGCTATTTTTTTTACACAAGCTGCATATTGCATTACTGATATTGCGGTACTTTTAAATGTTTAATCAAAACTAAGAACCTAAGAGTTCCTAACTTTCTTAATGCTACGTGTAACTGAAACACAATTTAATAGCAATCATTGAAATATTGAATATTAATAAAACAAATGTATCAATTCACAGCCGAGCGCGTTGTAGNTATTTTTTTTTTTTAAATATTTGAAAATAAATAAAATAAAAAATTTCCAATATTTTTTAAATTATTTATATTTGTATAGTAATTTCTATATTTACCGTGCATCTTCTTTTACGAGGATTATCTTTGTTCTTTAAAAACTCGAGGCTTTCAAATGCGAACCAAGATGACTTATATACGTCTTCAGTACCTGAGTTAACAAATTTAATGTTTAACCATTAAATAATTTACTTTAGGTAATATTGACTTACCTGAGCCGGTTCCTACACTTTTCCGTATTTTCATATTTTCTCTCCGATATGCAGCGTGTATTGACACCATTTTATTTCTACAATCATTCTATGTGATTGCAGTTGATATATGGTCGGACAATTCACTTGCGATTTCATTCCATGCATCATTTTTTAAAATCTTATTAAAATTATTTTTGTTTGTAGGGTTCCATATAATTTCCTTACTACGATAAATTTCAATAAGTTTTAATACATTTTCATTTGTCCAATCCGCCATCGTTACAAATTTTATAAACGACTATAGTGTTTGCTCCGAGGTTAATCGGCAACTAAATGTATATTTTGTTTAATACTAGGCTAGGATAAAATGGTAAAATAAAATATACGGTATAATTTGGTTAGGTAGTATATTAATATCCACTATAACAATAATATTATACGGATACGACAAGTCCAGTTATAAATAGTTATTTCGATAATCGATAGCCATAGGCATCCTTTATGAATTGTTGATAGAAAATAAGTTTTCTATATAAGTATTCGTATGATGTTACACGATTATGTTCGTCATCTCGTCCATACACGGTGTAACATGAACGCGTATCATCCTTTGATGTTTCGCCAAAATACCGACAATCGGCGGATCGGCGGTTTGTTACAGAAGTATGATACAAGTTCGAAGATTTGTTACACGTATATGACACACGAACACTGTTACGTGTTACAAGTTCGCCGTTTTGTTACGCTAGTGTGTACGCGCCTTAACGTAACATTGTAACATATGTTCGTGTTCGTGTTCGTTTTCTCGTTTGTGTTCTAGTGTATCATGGTGTTACACCTGCATTTGCCCAAATATTTTGATCCATCAGTTGTTCGTTGCTGTTCACTAGTATATGTCGTGTGAAAATATCTAATTTACAAGTGTCCTGTGCTGCTTTTATTTTAATGCATTCAGTATTGAAAAACAGAAAGCAGAAACGAAAAGAAAGAAGATGGTGGCAAACAAATATTTTTAAGAGCCGTAATATTTATTGTGGATCTACTTTAATTAACGACCTCAGGTCTCAAGAAATAAGCGGACAGTTTAACAATTTTATTCGGATGTCATCAATTGACTTTGAACATCTTATTACCTTGATTGGTCCTAAAATTTCTAGGATGGATACAACATTCCGAAAAGCAATACCTGTACAAGAACGATTGGCAGTAACCTTGAGGTATTTAGCAACTGGGGATTCATATACTAGTCTTCAATACCTTTTCAAAATATCTCGACAAGTTATTGGTCTAATTATGCCAGAAGTATTTAAAGCAATCGTAGAAGCCTTAAAGGAAAATATTCAGGTAAATAAATTATGTTATTAATGTATTTTAATCATTCTATTCAGTTATTATAAACATGTAATTTAATAATTTTAAATAACAAAATAATAAAAGTGTCTACTTGTTATGAATATTATAATCAATAGAAACAAAAAAAAAAATAACATGCAATAAAGTAACCTCTTCATGCACGTAGGTATCATATGATACCATAACATATTATGGCGGTAAAATAATTTAGATTACGTAATTATTTATTAGATAATAGTATAATCTGATAATCAAAATATGTAGTTATTATTCCATGAAATATTTGATGTCTCTCATATCAAACAGTTTATATTATCAATGCTCGAAAATCATAATACGTCATTATGAAAAAACACGATTCTTGTTATGTTTGTTGTTAAGTTTTATTTACTTTTAACTATTTTTAGACTACATTTTAATGATTTTTAGTTTAGTTATGTTATAAAGATTAATATTATCTATAGTTTTAACGATTTTATATTTATGTTACTTCGTAATACACAAAAGTATACATGGTATCATATGATACTACTGTGCAGCTCAGGTACGTGTACATTTAATTTTATTTAAACGTTTGTATATTTTATTTTGGCTTAATTAATTTTTTAGAAAGTTAATATTATGGATTTAAATGACAAGGTAGACATAAAATATTTATTGGACTTTGACTTGCCAAGTGGTTCAGAAGCTAGTTTTTGTGACAGTGATGACGATAATAATTAATAATGATTGTGATGGTAATGTTGACAGAGCCGTGCCGTTACGATTTGGCGCCCGGGGCAAAATTAAAAATATTCGCCCCCTATTTTATTTATCATTAATCATAATGCGTTTCATTCCTATTTAATTTAATTTAATTTTTTTTTACAACGTATTTTGAACATTAATTTGACAAAAAACTAAAGTTAATTGTAATAGTAATTATTAAACAAAATAGTTAGGTATAATTTATTAATTTATACCGTATTAAATAATTAAAAATGATAAAAATCACAAATTATATTATATATCCCACATAGCAAAATAATATTTTCAAAATATTGTGAAAATATTAATCCAGAAAATGAAAATATTTGATTAATGTTGTTAGAATATTTTAAAATATTGTAAAAACATTTGGAAAATATTTTTTGGCAGCCAAAAAAACATTTTCACAATATTTTGGTAATATATTTTTAAAATATTTGATTAATATATTTTCAAAACATTTTCCTACAATATTTCTAAAATCATATAATTCAAATATTTCTGAAACCACTTACTTCAAATATTTTGAAAAAGTTTAAAAACAAATATTTCTTCAATTATTCCCCAAATATATTTTTGAAATATTTGGACACTAGTATCTTGTAACTAAAACTGTTATTCTAGAATAAGAGCTACTGCTAGCTATTATAACACTATACAGTAACAATACTATACTACATGACCTATTGTGTTACTATTATATTTTAAACCTAGTACCTGAAATATTTGTGAAACATGAATCATTATATTTTAATTAGCAACTTAAGAAGGATTATTTAAATCAGAGGTTCTCAAACTATGGTACGTGGAAAACTATATGTCAGTACGCGAAAGGCCAAAAGGTGACATATATGGTACGCGACAGGTTAATAATACACATGAGTGGTACGCAAAAAAAGATTGAGAACCGCTGATTTAAATTTTAATATAAACAGAATAATATGAAAAATAAGAAATTAGTAGGATTGTATGAAGTTAAAAAATAAATTCATTTATTATACATTTGTTTATTTCTTTTAATTATTTTCATTATTTATAACAATTCTTGGGATGATTTTTGTATTTTAATTTTTTCTCGCTGAGCTGCTTGGGCCATCCAATTTTTTAGCGGCTTTTCTATATCCACATTAGGAACATCTGCAAATTTTTTTATGGAACGAACTGCTTCTAAAATAAACAAATATATAAATTAATTTTATAATTAAAATAATTATGACGCAAATAAATTAACTACAGTTTAACATATTTTATTATTACATTATGCAGTAAAAATGCAGTTTAAAGAATTGTTTTATTCACTTTTTCCAACTATACCAATCAAATGAACTGAGTACACATGATCCAATATTATGAATATCAATGTTATGAAATTAAAACCATAAAATATAATTTTTTATATATATTATGATAAAATTTAAAATATTACCTAATATAATACTCATGATGATATTATATTGAATAGTTGATCATTATTAATACAAATATATATATATATTTCATACCAAATATGACACTGCAACATTGCAACGTTGAAAATGGACTTTTCCCTTTAAAGCCAATATATGAGAATTTCCTAAGAAATGTGTCACTGAACATTTTTTGCATTATCTTTCTGATTGTTTCTGCCAAAGAATTGCTCGAAAAGCGAGATAAAGTTTTGACCTACAAAAGTTCATCTTAATATTAAGTTTTGTAATGATTATTATATGATATTTATACATAAGTATTATTTGTAATAATGTATCTTTGTAAATGTACAAACAATGAATTAAGCAATTTATAATTATTCCAACAGATGGTATATTTAAATTAAATTAGTAGTTAATATAGTCGACAGAACTACGGGAGCATTCAGCGTGGCTAAGCTCCTTTAATATCCATATTACACTACTTTAGAAAATAACTTCTAATAAAAAGATTATCATTCAAAAGTATGTTTTAATAGAGGTATTAAAACAAATTAATATAAATCAAAAAATACAAATTATACTTATGTTCTTAATATTTTTATAAAATTGAATCTAAGTATATGACATAACATTGTAATGTATGGTATATTTTATATAATTTTTTTTAATTTGAAATACGTACCACTGTAGATCTGTATAATGAATCATTTGTCTATTTATCTTCTAATATCATAAGATTAGTATCATTATTAACAATAAGAATATCGTCTTCAATTGTTATAGATGAATTATATGACTGTCCCTAAAGCTTATCATGAATTTTTTCCAGTATAGTTTCTAAACCGTCAATACGTTTGTGTATATTTTCAACATCATACTTTAGAGTAGTGAGAGATCTTTTTACAAATTTTTTAAAAGCTGAAATAAGTTTAAAAAAACTATATTATATGACTAATTTAAAAGTATAAAAATTAGTAATAATAATACAACATACATTGATTATCTGTATCATTTTCTGCAGCTGATGATGGTGAAATAAATAAGTCATGTCTGGGCACTTTTTTATTAATTGCAACATCTTGGTTGTCTGGTGTCAATAGAGTTGCATGAGAAATTTTTTTTTTTTTCCCCCAACCAGAAGATTTACAATTATTATCAATGGTCGTCTTTGGATACAAATTTGTAGTAGGTAGATCCTCAACAGTCGATCCTGCTATATTTTCAATAGATCCCATCTCATTGGAAACACAAAATAATGAATCAAATGAATTAGCTGGTGTATAAGTAATATCATCATCAGAGTCATCTACTGTTGATTCTATAACAAAATTGAAAACATTCATTAAAAATCACAGATTCCTTAGAATGTATTATAATATATTATATAATAGTTATTACATTAATAAAGGTATTGTATCAATATCCATGAATATATAACATAAAATGAGAACTTTGAACACTAACCTGGTTCAGATTCTTCAAATGTAGGAGGTTTGGATAATTTATCATTTTCGATTAATTTTCGTTTTCTTATAGCTATGTCAATTTCATCTTCATTAGATGATAATTCAGATGTCACTTGCGCTTTTGTTGCTTTGCTCTCAGCTTCTTGAAAAGTAGCTGTAAAAATGAATCAGCTTATTTATATGATTATGATAAAAAGAATTGTATTGTATTCTATAATTGTTATTTTTATATAGCATATTAAATATTGACATTTAGTATTTACCAATATTAGTTAATAAGGATCGTGCTTTATATTTTGTAAAATGAATTTCATCTGGCTTCATGCGTCGTTTAATTGATGTTTTGGAATCCATTCTGTTAGTTTTATTAGGCCATTCACAATAGCCATTTTTAAACCAGAAGTCTGGTACAACATCAACCGTATTATCTTCTTCGAAGCTGACAACCCTCCACATGCTATTAAATTTAAATATTTTAAAGACATATTATATAGATAGCAGTTTTATTTTTTGTTTTAATTATTTTCAACCTTGTTGCATATTCAGCATTTATATAATATAAAAGACTATAATTTACGTTTGCGTTATTATTCACATTAATGATACACAACAAATTGGCGACGAAGATAATTCAAATCGTTTGATCGTAATCACTATTGCTTAAAAAAAAAAAAAGAAATGACAACTCCGAAGACTGATTCCATAATGAACTTCAGTCAAGTTATTGGGTCACCAGGAACTTTTGAAACAGGTATGGACATAACAATTTTCGAGTCAAAATTAACAAATTTTTTTATGGCAAATTCGATTGAAAACAAGATTCAAAAAAGAGCAATTTTACTATCGTCAGTGAGTGAAGAAATACATAAAGTGCTTTTCAGTTTATGTGTTCCTAGCACGCCTAACGATGTGGAGTATGATACTCTAATAAAAAGTTTGAATAAATATTTCAAACCGGTAAAATCGTACTTTGCGGCTAGGTATACATTTTATCAAGCTAGACAAAGACAAGATGAATCAGTGTGCCAATGGGGTGCACGTGTCAAAAA